CGATATGTTTTTTTAAAAAAGTTATACGTTTATTGGGAAGATGGGTGAGATGGGAAAACTCTGAAGAAGAAGTGGGTCAAACACTGCGCGACGATCGACGAGTTTTGTCATGCGTGTTCAACAATTTATATTGTTTGAACCTGGAGAATTTCATTCTCTGTAAAAACATTATAAAAACAGTTAATTATTTAATTATATAACATTGAAGTGATATCATCGATTTAACCTAACATTATGCCAGAGAGTCCAGGAACAGTTGAAATTGCTACAACGATAGCATTATCCATCCTTGTTTTGAGCAGCTTGGTTGGAAACAATCTTGTAGTTCTGGTCTTCATTCATAACCGTGCAATGCGGAGAAAACCCATCAACCTTCTCATTGCCAATCTCGCTGTCTGTGATGGGCTCTTCGCCATTTGCCTGATACCTCGTTTTATTCTAATCCATTCTTTCGTACATCCTAGTGGTCTCACTGGTGACTATCTGTGCAGGTTTTTTACAGGGGGTAGCTTTTCTTGGATTGGTGGATTTGCGTCGGTGTTCTCTTTGGCAACAATTTCTTGTGAAAGGTTTTACGCGGTTGTAAAGCCATTCGTATATCGAAGAMAGTTTAGTATGAAGAAAGCTGAGCTGTTCGCAATGGCAACATGGGCTGCTTCAATTACAGTGAACTCCCCTTTGTTTTTTGTTTATGCTTACGATTCTGATTCACGTTTGTGTGATACAGTCTGGAAAAGTGCGAATAGCCAGAAAGCTTACGCGATTATCTGGTCGGTGATGGCTGGACCAGTGCCATGTGGGTTCATGGTGTATTTCTACATTAGGATTATTTATGAATTGTGGAAGAACAAGAAAATTAAAGAAATTACTCAGCAAGCGTTGTTCCGCTCAAGAAGGAAGATCACAAAGATCGCCATTGCTGTGACGTTTGTCAATTTGGTCACGTGGTTTCCTACCCTTTTTTATGTGGCATTTGAAGCTCTTCTCGGTGAAGATTGGTTTGCCCCTGGATCAGATGTGTATCGAATTTTTAGAGTGATGACAGCTTTCAATGCAGCTTGTAACCCTTTTATTTACGCTCTACAGATAGTCCAGTCAATCTGTTGCTGAAGATCAAACTAATTGCAACAAAAGCTTTTTCACTGCYAAATGRCAGTTACTGGTCTACTAACTAACATACTAAAAGTTCCCCAAAATTYGGATAGAGGAACATGGTTAAAATAGCATTTTGTGATTTTCGAGAAAACMACAGGGTACCCAAAACAAGTAAAATAATTATCTCGCTAAAAAATAGAATAAACTTAAAATAAATTACTAAATATAGCTTCTGACAAACAAAGGGACACTCATCAAAATGAGTGTTTTCTTATTTCACACTTTACCACAGGGTTCCCAATTCGTGAAAAACATCTTTTGATAAAAAAAATTAAAAGATACATAATAAAGTTGCATTAATGTTCAAAACAACAACCCGCTCCTTTTTTTTGTCATTTCAACAAACATATCTTTCTGCTATTTATTAAACTTTATTGATTTGTTTTTACTTATTCAAGTGACCGAACTATTATAGGAATTAACTGTTCAAGTTTTTGCATCGGCACTAAAAAAATACAGTTCTGTTTTGAGAAACTACAGTTGTTTTACTTACTATTCATTACTTATTTACATTATTCCTTTTATCGTGTATCTATAGATGAAACAAGCATTGTTAACGTTCATTATTCAACTTAAGGTGACTAGATTCTAATTATTTATTACTCTGTAAGTTCCGCAAGTGTCAAGTTTTTGCAGCTCGCTCCCTTACAGAATCCGCAGGCAGTTGTGCAGTCAAGTCAATTCTTAAGACAGGAGCATCTTCTTGTGTTACAATCTATCTTAAAATAATCAGTTATGTAAAAACAGTTAAACGTTGTGATCTTGAGTGAAGGAGGATGTGCAGGAGGCAGATTTTGTTGTTTTCGGCACAAACTTCTCATCATTTAGTTCCCGTCTCCACTTTTGTTGGTTATCCTTCCACTTATGGAACAAATATACCCTTAAAAACTGTGGAAACAGGCGGCAGCTGACGCAGGGGGAAGACTTTCAAAAGGTACGCATACGTTTCCGCTTGTTACTTTATACAAAAGAGTGTATATCGCAGGGAATCGAGACTCTCAGTGTAGGCAAATCATTAGTAGAGACACACTAGCGACCGTTCACCTGCTGCGATTACTTCATCTTTGGAAACATTTGGGTTGCTAAATACTCTGGGTTGATCACTGAACAGCGCATTGTTATCAAACTTCTTGAGAGCCACCAGAAGTACATATGTACTTCTGGAGCCACTCCTTTTCCAATCCCATGTACTCGCAATCGGTTGTGTCGCATCCGAGGAGTGCATACATGTACAATATATGCTGCAAACACCAGATCCTAGTGCAGACTTTGTTTTCTTGATGTCCCATATTGTGCGTGTCTTAGAGTTCTTTTTGGGCTGAGGTATTAAGAATAGATCATTTGCGTCCATCTCACCATCCATGGTATGACACCAATACTAGAAGATCCGTATCATCTCAAGACATAGAACACTCAGTATTTTGACTTTTAAGACTTATTCACTGAATTGTTTTGGTATATTTTTAATAGTTACAAAATTAATACTACATGTTTGATGGTAAACAGTGTCTGTTGCATGTAAATCACTAAGGAATTCTATTCTTCCTAGCACAGTTTGTGCCCAGTCATCGTAATTTCGTTCTTTGCATACATTAAGGATGGTTTCCTTGAATTCCATAGTGCGAACTGAATGACAANGCATCGGCACTAAAAAAATACAGTTCTGTTTTGAGAAACTACAGTTGTTTTACTTACTATTCATTACTTATTTACATTATTCCTTTTATCGTGTATCTATAGATGAAACAAGCATTGTTAACGTTCATTATTCAACTTAAGGTGACTAGATTCTAATTATTTATTACTCTGTAAGTTCCGCAAGTGTCAAGTTTTTGCAGCTCGCTCCCTTACAGAATCCGCAGGCAGTTGTGCAGTCAAGTCAATTCTTAAGACAGGAGCATCTTCTTGTGTTACAATCTATCTTAAAATAATCAGTTATGTAAAAACAGTTAAACGTTGTGATCTTGAGTGAAGGAGGATGTGCAGGAGGCAGATTTTGTTGTTTTCGGCACAAACTTCTCATCATTTAGTTCCCGTCTCCACTTTTGTTGGTTATCCTTCCACTTATGGAACAAATATACCCTTAAAAACTGTGGAAACAGGCGGCAGCTGACGCAGGGGGAAGACTTTCAAAAGGTACGCATACGTTTCCGCTTGTTACTTTATACAAAAGAGTGTATATCGCAGGGAATCGAGACTCTCAGTGTAGGCAAATCATTAGTAGAGACACACTAGCGACCGTTCACCTGCTGCGATTACTTCATCTTTGGAAACATTTGGGTTGCTAAATACTCTGGGTTGATCACTGAACAGCGCATTGTTATCAAACTTCTTGAGAGCCACCAGAAGTACATATGTACTTCTGGAGCCACTCCTTTTCCAATCCCATGTACTCGCAATCGGTTGTGTCGCATCCGAGGAGTGCATACATGTACAATATATGCTGCAAACACCAGATCCTAGTGCAGACTTTGTTTTCTTGATGTCCCATATTGTGCGTGTCTTAGAGTTCTTTTTGGGCTGAGGTATTAAGAATAGATCATTTGCGTCCATCTCACCATCCATGGTATGACACCAATACTAGAAGATCCGTATCATCTCAAGACATAGAACACTCAGTATTTTGACTTTTAAGACTTATTCACTGAATTGTTTTGGTATATTTTTAATAGTTACAAAATTAATACTACATGTTTGATGGTAAACAGTGTCTGTTGCATGTAAATCACTAAGGAATTCTATTCTTCCTAGCACAGTTTGTGCCCAGTCATCGTAATTTCGTTCTTTGCATACATTAAGGATGGTTTCCTTGAATTCCATAGTGCGAACTGAATGACAACGCTCTTTTTCCTTCTGCAATCATAGTTAAAAAGTTGACCACAGAAAGTACAACTTTCACCAGGATTAAATTGGGACTTTTCAGAGCGGCATCTAACAGCTACATTGCCGGTCGATTCATCGTGATCACATGCTGTTGTATAAGCAGGTTTTTTGGCTCTCAAAAGCTTAACACCACATTTTTTGTGAACTCTGTTTCCACGTGTAGCTTGGATGGCTACACCAACTTGATTGACGCTATTGCATCCTTTTTAGTAAGGACTTTTGGTCTTCAAACTGACTGCCCCCACAAATACGACAACAAGCTTCCATTTGTTCTCAACTCATCCAAGTAAATTCAGACAAAAGGAGCAAAACTATATAAACGAGTCAAAAGCTTTGAATTAAAATATCACTGCATCCATTTTGAAAAAAAAAAACGATTATTTAAATACTTTTACTTCTAGAAATGTGAAAAGACAGTTAAAAAACAGTGATTTTCCAAATTTACTTACATACAGGCTAGTGACTTAATCTTCAAGCCATCCGCTCTGTTATAACCTGGTTACAAATTTCGCTTATGTTTAATTTTTTATGGCTTACATGTTCACATTTTAAGAATAAACAACATGACGATTCAAAAACATCTTAAATAATTAGAGTTGAAGTTAACTAAATACAGTGTTAATCAGAACTTGATTTCTGGGCTTCCTGTGGATCACAAAAACCACTTATTTTTGCCATAAACCATCTCGTTTTAGTGGTTATAGCTATTTTAAGACAAGAAAGATATAATTAGATCATTAGAAATCTCCAATACCACTAAAAATTAAAATGCAAAATAAAAAAGACAAATTCTGATTTTTTACTTGGCTTGGGCTACCTGTGGTTTTATTGTCCGATTGTTACCTAATTTTAACCATGTTCCTCTATCCGAATTTTGGGGAACTTTTAGCATGTTAGTTAGTAGAMYAGTAACTATCATTTGGCAGTGAAAAAGCTTTTGTTGCAATTAGTTTGATSTTGGGCTATAAAATCGCGTAGATTGACTGGACTAAGAGTCAGTCTTTTCGAAAAGGCGTCAGGAAGATATTCTTAAGGAAGATATGCCGAAGTACAAGAATATTAGTGATCGAACCTATCCCACTAAACACTATACATGATAGAAATTAGTAAAATTTCAGTCTGTGCTTAAAATATATCACTAAAATATTAATTAAGATTCAAAAAACTTATTGATAATTTATGAGCTATTAGATCAAGCCGGGGATATTGTACATTATTTGGCAGGTCTTTCATTATGTACTTCTGTACTTGCTGTGGGATTTGTCTTTTGCGTAGTGACCTTCTGAGTGTTGTTAKTTTCCGGAGTCCCACAAGTCACTCGATTTTCAATCCCAAAATGCATTGCGCCACAAGGTTTCCGCGGGTCGTACAAAGACTAGATTGGCAATTTAGTTATAACTACATTTTAAATTAATTTAAATTGATTAACACTACAGCCATCAATATCTTCCGCATAAATGTCACGCAAATGCCATGTTCTTTGAGCTGACATTTTTGTTTGGGAGTTCCAAGAGCTTGGTAACCGAAAGTGAGAGATTGGCACTAGAACAGGTATCCCATGATTCTGACTTGTCAATAAAAACGTTTCAACGGCAAATTATAATATCTATAATTCGAATATTTATAATTCGAATTCAATAGATGAGGTAATTAATTTTATCTAGAGATTCTTATATCTACTAGAGAGTATGCAAGATCGGATTTGGAATTTCACGTTGGGTTGCCTGTGTTCTCTCCAACATTCGATCCAAGATGGAGGGACTTTGTAATCCAACGTACTCTATAGAGTTTCTGAAGAAACCTGCCGTCATTTTAAGATTTGTATCCATCGTAAGTACTATATTAAGTTTCTAAGACTCCTATGATAAACCAAGCAATAAATAAGCAAACAAGTTGAAGATTATTCGGTACGTAGGCTTCAGTGTTTGAAGCCATGTATAAAATCACAGCCACGAGTTGTTTCCAATTTCAATTCGCTTAAAACGATCTCGAACAATATCTGGATTGTACGTTCTTTAAACGTACTCTTCAATTCCTTCAGTATTTTCGTACTTTTGCAATTATAACTTCTAAAGATTACTTAGAAGTAAGCTTGCCTTATGCACTGAAGTGTTCGTTTCGGTGAACTATTCTCAAACATGTGATTCAAAGTCAGTGATCCAGAGCCCGGAAGAGCTTTATGCATTCATATACCGGTCTGTTAGAACCAATGTTCTACTGTAATTTATGCAAAATTACAAGTATTACATGATTTTAGTATCAGACGAAAACAAAAACGTCTAGTATACAATCATAATACAAAAAAGTTCCGGATATTCTATTGTCTCCATTGTTGATATTCAACTGCCAGAACTGTCACATTCTTTTTCTCATTATCACATTTTCATGTATAATTCAAAGGAATTCCCAAGCTTTCAGAGTATTCCAAGGCCTTCAGACGTCTGCAGAGTCATGTATTTTTCATACCCTACATGAATGCACAACTTATTTACAGAATTATAGAAAACTCTTGGGATTCACAAATAAAAACTAGAAAATCACTGAGCACCAATCCTAATTTTGTATTTACCACAATTAATTAGAAACATGCACTCATTACAAAGGGAAAAAAATATTTGTTTTGACCAAAGATGTGAAGATTGATTGATTGTGCAATAATGAGATCAGTCATATCAATAATTTGCTTTGTAGTTATTTGCCATTATTGTATTTGGCTGTATGAGAATTGGCGACAATGGCAATGTATGCTTGTTCAATGATGACGGTGGTGCCTGTAACAATGGCGTGGGTTTTGGTATCGTCATCAAAGTGATGACGTCACAAAACGGAAATGTTTGAGTTTTGAAATTTGCACTCCATATTCTGAAAGTGCATCATTTTTAATGCATCCTTGCTAAATATGAGTGTCTTAGTGTCATTTGTAGCGGAGATACAAGCGATTTTATGGTCGGGTGACCAAATACAAACGCTTGTAAATTTGGTCTTGTTCATAATGAAAGGAACAAGACCAAATTTACATGCGTTTGTATGTGGTTATCCAACCATAAAATCGCTGGTATCTCCGCTATAAATGGCACTAAGACACTGAAATTTGGTAGATAGCTCCTTTTTTCCATGCGCTTTAAGGATATGTCAACGAATCCGTAAAATTTGAAAAAAAACCATTTCTGACGTCACACTTTAGTACTCTATTATTGACTCACAGTTTAACACCATAAATAACCCAGTACATGAGAAGCAAATCACCTAGCTGAGCTGGTATTTTGTAGTTTCTGGCCAGGAGAACAATTATCAAATTTTATCAGTCTTTACATTCATGGTCAAAAGAATGTTGCATTATAATTAATATAATGTTGTTTATACATGTACCAATATTTTTTTTTGTAGTTATTTGCCATTATTGTATTTGGCTGTATATCATCTGGTGGATATGATGATGATACTAATATGTGCCTCTTCCATGGTGACAGTGGTGCCTGTAACTATGGCGTGGGGATTGGAGTCATTGCTTTCCTTCTCTGTATAATTTTCATAGCAATTGATTCTCAGTATGACACCATAAACAACCCAGAACATAAGAAGCAAATCACCTTGGCTGAGCTGGCATTTAGTGGTTTTTGGGCATTTCTATGGTTTGTCTGTTTCTGTTACTTGGCTGATATGTGGCGGAAGACACCCTCTGGTCCTTTAAGTACTAGYAATGTTAACAATTGTCAAGCCGCCATTGCATTTTCATTTTTCTCAGTTTTTTCCTGGGTAAGTACTGGTAGGTTTGTTACTGTTATTTACATTTSCTGTGTTGCTATTTGATACAACTAAACAAAGGAATAGTTGGTTTCTGTGTTACCCCTAATTTGTGTTTCTGGTTGAGTAAGCACTTCCATCATTTTCAAGAAATGTTGTACCATGTGTTATTTATTATTGTATCATACTTGTTTTTTGATAAAATATAATAAACAATGCTGTTTATTATATTTCAAAGGTTGGAATTGCTGTGATGGCATTTTCCAAGTATCGCCAAAGTCAAAATGAGTTTGGCTATGACAAAGACAACCTTGCAGGGGACACCTATGCATCTCCATATGCACCATTCCCTCCAAACACCTCAGAGGCTGGTGACCCTTATCAATCCGCACCCTTTAGTGAGGAGCCACAGGTCCCTGGTCCAGTAAGTGGCCCTTCAGATGTTCCAAGTGAATTCAAACAGGCATCTTACTAAAGTCTACTGTGAGATTACAGTTCTTCATAATGAAAGATGCATACTAATGTAACTGGTAACATGGTGGTAACAAAAGAAAAAGCGGAACTGTTGGAAAGTAACGCCTGTTTAAATCTTAGATTTTTGATGTAATTTGGAGGAGAGTTTTTCGTTTGCTTCTGACAACATTCCTTTTTATGTATCTAGATGAATAAAATGCTCAAAACCTCAACCAAAAATGAAAATGCTTTCATTGGCTTAATACCTGTGATTTAGTATTATAACCTCTGGAGTCATGTAATTGAATGGTGTATTTGTGCATTTTTTTATCTATTCAAGGCTAATAGTAATACAGTATGTCAGAAGCATGTGAATGTGCTAACTTGCTGGAGCATTGGTAGGGAAATATTAAGTGATTTTGGAATGATATCAATGATAACTTGTGAAATTCTTGTAAATTCTAGCATTGTCATGTATGTATCTAAAGGCTAACTTTGTTAAAATGACCTGTGATTATATTGTAGAAGGTGCCTATTTTTTACTGAGTAGCATGGACTTTTCATATAAAATGCTAGTCAGTTATTTTCACTGTACAGTATTTATGGGGCCATAGCAACTGGTATTCAATGCAATCATGTTTGAGATTTTTCATACAATGAAAAGTCCATTTGCAATCTGATTCTGTCTGTCGATTTTAAGTTTAAATCTTATGATATCTCTGCTTATATTACGAAATATTACGATGTATTTTTATTTTCAAACATAAACWAAAACTGGTAAGGGATGCCAGTTGAACATGGCCTTCTAACATTAAAACATCGATTCTAGGAAAACTGGATTTGGCATTTATGAATAACGAGTGGTCAAATGAGATATGTTGACCTTTGTAAACAGAAAACAAGGTGCATATGAATACCATGTTACAGAATATGTACATTTTGTATCCTTTCAATATACACATAAAGTAACCTGTGAAACAAGAAGTGACATAAATTTAATTGCCAACTATTGTACGATAAGCACAATTTCGGCTAAATCTGATTTGTTAGAAACGATGTCTTGTCTGTGCTCCACTGCAGTGTAATCGGGCTTTGTTTCAAATATATAATATTGTATTTAACAATGTTTTTTTAATTTTCTTTTATGCATGATTTAATTCCAAGTTTTTGTATAATGATAAGGTGAAGATTTGTTGAAACCTAGAGAGGTGTGATTTATTTTACTGTTTCGCATTTGTAGAGCATATAATAATATAAGATTGTGTAAACTTTAGGTAGACTCTCGTAAGATTTTCTTATATGAATTAACAAGGTTGCTGATATTTTATCGCATAATAAATAAGTCTATTACGATTAAAGCAAGTCTGAAGTGTTTTTTTGCTGCTTACATCGACACTTAGTTTACACTTGGAGCGGTACTATTTTATAGTTCCTATAGCATGAACAACCAACACAACCAACGATACAAGCAAAAAATGCAAAAAATTGTCGCTAACCAAATGAGAACTTTTACCTCTTTATAAATTACTGAAAATATCTTTATTTCTAAAAGGAAATTTTTACAATGAATCTCTGAAAGTTTAAAAACTTTCTTAATGACAACAGCAGACATTCAAGTGGTATCCGACGCGCGACTTTAGTTTCGGCGGGAAAACAGATGCGCGAGCGCCAATTTTTCTGGCGCGAAAAAAAAGTTCTAGGAGAGCAATAGCACTTGACGGCGCGGGGTGGTTATTTTGACTTTTCAGCCCAAGAAATCAGCTCTAAAGGTTGCATAAAGACAAGGTAAACTGAAATGAAATGTCTAGAGACAGTTTATGTACTTTGTGCTTTAAAATATATTTTTTAGGCGAATACAGTAGCTTAGTAAATTGATTTTTGTAAGTTTAAGCTTATAAGACAGGTAAGCTTGACAGGTTCAAATTCATTTCTGTCTCAAAGTTTTGTTAAACAGTTCGCGTTAGTCGAGTGTTTTCTACAATGTGAAACGATGGCACTGAATAAAGGTCTTTGASCGTTTTTTAATGATACCAACCTTGTTTTTAGATGTTACAAGCGTGTGATGATCAAGTAGTTGACGGTCAAGATTACGATGACCAGGACGATGTAAGTCGTGTCATGGATTTCCAGACATATTTTGGAACTAATTTTTTTTTYCTTTTTTTCTTTTAAGGAATCATTTTATCAAGATATTGATATGCTGCAAAATCACGGAATCGTAAGTCTTGAATTAATTTCAAATTTGCTCTAGGGGAAAAAATGCTTTAAGAGAGCCGGGGAGAGTGTAGAAATTTAAAGCATCATTTCTTAGTTTGTTATGATAACTTAATTATTGCTATTTTTATCGTTGCTTGAACACATCTTCCGGTAGAATGTTGCAGACATCAAAAAATTGAAAACCGCTGGAATTTGTACTGTTAAGGTAAATTTGCAACTCATGATTTAATGTAACTGTCTGTAAGTACTTGATTTAATAACGATTTCATATACTAATAGGGAGTTCAAATGACCACAAGAAAGCGACTATGTCAGATCAAGGGTATATCTGAAGCAAAGATGGAAAAGATTAAGGTATACTAACATCATTTTCATCATTTTGAAAATATCTCAATTTCTTCATTTACTTTTTGTTATTTTTTTAATTCCACAGTTGTTTAGTCATTTGTTCATTTCAGTTAAATTTTCCTTCACTTTATTAATTTAATTTTATGTATCTTAATTTGCTCATTTCTTTAATGTATTTGTTAGTTTAAATCGCCTTTTTTAACTCATTTATGACAATATTTGTTTTTAGGAAGCAGCTACCAAGTTGAGTGTAAGTGCAAGTGATACTTATACCAAGACGTTACATCTAACTTATTATCAAACTGATATATGTGTGTATTTTTAGAATGATGGATTTGTTACAGCACTCGAGTATAGTGATATGAGAAAAATGGTGTTTAGAGTCTCTACTGGGAGCAGTGAGTTGGAGTAAGTTTGATATCTTGGGTATCGTATTTTTATTAAATTAGAGAATGAAAGGACTTGTATGGATAGGTGAGAAACTGAACAAATAAATGCATGTACAAATGAAGATAAATAATCATTAATAACACACTTAATAATTATTTCTGTGACGTATATTGATCTATTCCTGTGTTTTTGAATGTATATTAATACTAATTACCTCTTTTTGTCCTGTCATCTTGCAGCAAGCTGCTAGGAGGTARGTTAAATGRGAATCTGAAATGCCCAYCTCTGTCCCACTCCTATCTTTTCATTCCTTGGGCTTCCTTTGCTTTAGMTTTAACAGCAAATRGAAAGGACAAGGACTGAGAAKGAAACRATTCTAGACAAAGGAAACCCAAGGAGACACTGACAGTACTATTCATATTACACCGAGTAATATTCATTCCGTTTAGAAATACTCAAAATAGATTGCACATGTTTGGATTGCAGGTGGTATTGAAAGTATGTCAATAACAGAAGTTTTTGGAGGTAATCAAAAAAATTATTGATAAATTCATATTCAATATTATCAAAATTAATCATATCTTTAAACAGAATTCAGAACTGGAAAGACGCAACTGTCACACACCCTTTGTGGTAATGTTTGTTTAGTTTTATTGCAAATGTAATAAGTTCGCTATTCACTGTTCTGATATACTCTGTACAGTCACAGCTCAACTTCCAGGTCCAGGAGGCTACACAGGAGGAAAGGTTATCTTTATTGATACAGAGGTATGTAAACTKTCTGTCTGTCTATCTGTCTGGGATTTGTTTGTGAACTTGTTACTATAAATAAAGGCATGTTATGTGTGCCAATACTGATGTTGCTGATGCTCCGTTTTCTTTCTTTAGAACACATTGTATCCTTTAAGTCCTTTGCCAGCTACCAACAATGTTATGGGTGTTGTTGATGATAATTTTTGATTAAATTTATTGACACATCATACATTTTTACTAGTACATGCACATATATTCTGCGTCCTTGGACATAAAGTAACTTGTTTCATTTAACCTTTTTACGCTGTCATTATTTTTTTTCTTTTGACCAMAACTTCCAGCCGTCCAGATCGACTGCGTGAAATAGCAGATAGGTTCAACCTAGATCAGAATGCTATGTTAGACAACGTTCTRTACTGTAGAGCATATACAAGTATGTCTGATCTCTCATGACAAATGTAGACAATGCATGGGTCAAATAACGGTCCTTCCTTTCCCTTACCTTGGCCAATTGCCTCATTGCCTGGYCTTGCAACTCGAACCCAAGACCTTTKRMCYT